GCCGCTCATGAACGGCTCGGCCGCGCCACTTCCCGCCGCTCTCAGCCTCAGCGGCCGGGCCGCCGCCTCCCTGGCCGCAGTGTCCGGAGCCGCGGCTGCCGGCCTGGGCTCCACGCAGCCCACCGATCTAGGCGCTCACAAGCGGCCGGCGTCCGTGTCCAGCAGCGCGGCGGCGGACCACGAGCAGCGCGAGGCGGCGGCCAAAGAGAAGCAGCCGCCGCCGCCTGCCCACCGGGGCCCGGCCGACAGCCTGTCCACCGCGGCGGGGGCCGCCGAGCTTGGCGCGGAAGGGGCGAGCAAAGGCCGCGGGCCCGGAGACCAGGACTGGGTCAATAGGCCCAAGACCGTGCGCGACACGCTGCTGGCGCTGCACCAGCATGGCCACTCGGGGCCCTTCGAGAGCAAGTTTAAGAAGGAGCCGGCCCTGACTGCAGGCAGGTTGTTGGGTTTCGAGGCCAACGGGGCCAACGGGTCTAAAGCAGGTAGGGGCGGTTGTGGAGTGAGGGGGTCTAGGGGAAAGAGGGGGACAGACAGCGGAGGAGGGTGGTTCTTTCCATTCACCATTTTACCCCAGCCCAGAAACAACAAACACCCAACTTCCTGATCTGCCTGAGGCGGAACCAGTGCTTAGTGGCAACGTGTTCATGTGCTGAAGCAGCATAACAGAGATGAGTCAGACTGGGCTGATAGGCACTGACACGGGGTTTTCCTTTCCCAGCACATTCTTGGATGGGAGCATGAGGGCACCAGTCACCTTTTAACCTATTGAGGGACATTTACAGTCACATGCGCAGTTCCAACTGGGGTATATGCATGCATATGTTAACAGTTAATTTTATACATGCCACTTTTTGTGGCTTAGTTGTCTTTTAAATCGTTGCCTCAGCACCCTAAGTCTCAGTATTTTAAGCTGCATGTGCACTTGAAAGTCATTGGTATTTTATGTACGCTCTTTTGGTACGTAGGAATTCTGTAAAGAGTTCGGTGTTGCATTCGTAATAGGAAGAGCCTCCTCAGTGCACCTTCATTTATTCTTTTTTCCTTTTATTTCTTTGTTTTTCCAGTTGCAAGAACAGCCAGGAAAAGGAAGCCTTCTCCAGAACCAGAAGGTGAAGTTGGGCCTCCTAAGATCAATGGAGAGGCCCAGCCATGGCTGTCCACACCTACAGAAGGGCTCAAGATCCCCATGACTCCTACATCATCGTCTTTTGTGTCTCCACCACCACCCACTGCCTCACCTCATTCCAACCGGACCACACCGCCTGAAGCGGCCCAGAATGGCCAATCCCCCATGGCAGCCCTAATCTTAGTAGCAGACAATGCAGGGGGCAGTCACGCCTCCAAAGATGCCAACCAGGTTCACTCCACTACCAGGAGGAATAGCAGCAGTCCACCCTCTCCGTCCTCTATGAACCAAAGAAGGCTGGGCCCCAGAGAGGTGGGAGGCCAGGGTGCAGGCAGCACAGGAGGACTGGAGTCAGTGCACCCTGGCAGCCTCCCGGACTCCTCTCTAGCAGCCAGTGCTCCCCTGTGCTGCACCCTCTGCCACGAGCGGCTGGAGGACACCCACTTTGTGCAGTGCCCATCCGTCCCTTCGCACAAGTTCTGCTTCCCTTGCTCCAGACAAAGCATCAAACAGCAGGGAGCTAGTGGAGAGGTCTATTGTCCCAGTGGGGAGAAATGCCCTCTTGTGGGCTCCAATGTCCCCTGGGCCTTTATGCAGGGGGAAATTGCAACCATCCTTGCTGGAGATGTGAAAGTGAAAAAAGAGAGAGACTCGTGACTTTTGGGTTTCTGAAAACCCAATGATTCTCCTTAATTAAAACTGCTTGAATTGTATATATATCTCCATATATATATATATATATATATATCCAAGACAAGGGAAATGTAGAGTTCATAAACATGGCTGTATAATTTTGATTTTTTTTTTGAATACATTGTGTTTCTATATTTTTTGACGACAAAAGGTATGTACTTATAAAGGCATTTTTTTCTTTTGTTAACGTTATTAGCATATCTTTGTGCTTTATTATCCTGGTGACAGTTACTGTTCTATGTAGGCTGTGACTTGCACTGCTTTTTTAGAGCACTTGGCAAATCAGAAATGCTTCTAGCTGTATTTGTATGCACTTATTTTAAAAAGAAAAAAAAGCCAAATACATTTTCTGACATTGTAAGATTGCCTTACTGTCTGTTATTCCTTATTGCTGGCCCCTTTCTCAGGCCTGAGGCCAATTGGTGGAGGAAAGGAAATGAGTGAAAGGGGCACTGTTGTCAAGTGGGCATGCCACTGGGATTTGTCACCAGGTTTACCCTGAAGCATTGTCCTCTCAGAGGAATAGGAAAATAGATTCTGAATCTCTATTTTGTTCTTAAAGTTTGGTTCTTGGGATGTCGCTGACAGAGAGGTGTGCTGCTGGGAGATTGTCAGGATTGTGTAGTCTTTTGGGTTTTTGTTTTTTTTTTTTTTTTTAAAGACAAAGTTGACCGCTGTTCTCTGTCCACGTGATGAGTTGTAAGATTACAATGCTGCATGCTAGTTGGTTACATAAGCCACAGTTCAGTGATGGAAGGCAGTTATAATGGATGGTGGTGTGTACAAGATGGCACTGCCATCTCTGAGCAGAGCCTGGCTCTGCAGCGCCCCTTCATCTTTCTAAATACCCTAGAGCTCTGTTTGTTGTTGCTGTTGTCCTTTCCTTTGAAAGTCACAAAAAAGTTACAGTGCAGGTGAACTTGGAGATTGTGGGATTGGTTTTGTTTCTGTTTTGTGTCTTGTTTTGTTTTTTATCATTTACCTATAGTGCTGTTGCTGTTGATACTATCACCTACACCCTGTTTCTAGTGAGTGCTAAATACAGTATGGTACAATGACAGTAACAGCCACATGGTGCTGCCAGGACTGCCCGTGGGCATATCAGTGACAGCCCAAGTGTGGGTGGAGGAAACCTGTAATTTCCTTCTTACATGTGTTTGAAATACCAAGTGAATAATACTGTTCTGGGGGGAAAAAAAAAAGGTAAACTAGTGAAAATTAAAGAAATTAAGGGTTTTATATAGTGGACAGGCCCCACTTCTCAAAACTATTTTTAGAAGCCTTTTGTAAACTAATTTCTTTTGATCACTATTTTGCATCAGTAAAATGATTTTTTTTAAGCAAATAA